GTGCGTGTGCCTACCGGTACGGCTATACCACTGCAGTGTGCAAGTACCATGGCTCTGTACTATACTGTCTGCGTACCTGCAGACTTGTAGTTACATCACCGGCGGTATAATATTATTATAATTAGGTACAATATTTCAGAGACAACCTCATCGGGGTTTTGTTATATATTCTTGATATACCTGCAGCTCGTTAAACAATTTTTTTTTTACATTTTTTAAATAACTAACTTTTTTCAGAATTAATATTTCAAAAAAAGCCGATGAGGTTGTCTCCTAAGTATTGTTATCTATACATTTCATAGAAATAATTTTTACGCTGAAACCACTTTTTAATGCTGCTTAGTATTTTGTTTGTTTTAAGTTAACGTGTTTTTACCGTTGAAAATTATCCGTATAACGTCCTCTTAACCTGTACCTATTATAATACGTAGGCTCTGTCAAAGTGGAAATAATAACGTATATTTTATATGTAGGTATTTGCGAGTTCTGATCGTAATAAACTGTGTGACAAGAGGATAAAAGAAATCCATAGCGTTTAATGTCATACCCTTTTATGGCAATATATTATTAGAAATTGGGCATTCGTAATTTACACATATTATAATTGTTTAACCCATGGAAAGTGATTCACTGTGATTCACTTACTGGTTTTATAAAATGTCCATTCTCCAACAGAAATACGATATGAGTGATTAATGATATAAATTAAATGATGATACGTATAGACCTTTTTTTAAATTTAATTGAAAAAACCTTATATAATAACATTTTATACAGGTATTATTTTAACAAGATGTATCTCAAATGAAATCTTGCTGCCTAATTTAGGACCTTGCAATGTAGGGATCATAATATGGTGTAAAGATGACTTATTAGGACTTATATAGGTAATATAGTACCTACATTTTAAACTACATTACCTACTTCATTTTTATATTACCTCAACACACGAGATGATGAGAAAATAATATAAATAATATTGTTTAACTGGAAAAATCTTGAAACAGCAATAAATTTAATATTCCGGAAGTAACCTGTCATCATAAATAACATATACAACTTGTTTTGAATGGAATACAGTAAGATCAAAATTTTGCCATTTTTTATTATTATATTTTTTATTTTCATATACAAAAAAATACACCCTCTGTACCACATGTTTTGACGCAAAAATCCAGTATGGCTTCCAATATATTATATACGCCTTCTTATTTGTTTCCATTAATTTTGCCTTTTACATATTCATTCACCATCGATAATCTCTGTTTGAAATATATAATACAAACTTAAATTATGCCTTAAATTGTATAATACTACAATAGCTATTATTAAAATATAATATAGATACACCATACATAATGGTTTTAATGTTGGGTATTTATTATTAATATTTTTTTGTGTCTATATCATCACGTTTTGGAAAAAACGATTTGCTTCTACAATTGCAGCTATGAGTTGTATCAGGAGGAATATTTTTAATTATTAGTCCGAAAGCTTGAAAAATATTAAGAAGTTCCCCATAGATTTTTCAAGTATTTAAGTCCCAATTTTTTCTTTAAAGTATTTGATGTTCAAATTTCGACAAAATTAGATAGCAAAATGTTTTTAATCAGTTAGTAGTTATCCTGTTGTAATCCATAAAATATAAACCGTAGAGACTTGAAATATTTTACTGTAACTTACATATTTAAGGTACCTAATGAAATTTAAAAAAAAAATATTTAGTTCTATTTTACTAATATTATTACATACCGAACCTAGTCACACCCCATCATATAATAATTAATGTTATAGGTAGTACTTATACTTATATTCAATGTTTTTGTCAAAAATTAGTTAATTGTATAATGGTTGAATGGCGAATATGGTAAATATTATAGGTATAATAATATATATAAGATTTGTATTTTACAACTAGATCATTCAAAATATGTATTACATTTTTATAACGGTGTAAACTGTATGAACTATAAATGCATTAAAAGGTATAATACATCAGTATATAGGTAGGTAGGTATTTTTACTATTTTTGTAATAAAATTAAAATATCAAATGAAATATTTAAATCAAAATGGTTACAAATCATGATAATCATCCAATAATTGAATTACATATTATAAAATAATAAGTAATAACTATTGAGTAGGTATTATAATAAATCGTGGCTTCGTGGGCTCGTAATTTATTGATGTCTGTATACGGGCGACTAATGTTATATTGTTACCCTTATATTATTATTAATTAGTATCTAATTAATACGACACATCAATTTTTATCTATAAAAATATATACAAAAGTCTTCATAAATATAACTTTTTTTTCTAATAATATTTTATCATACTTTTATGACTTATAGGTATAAATAATATTTTTCAAGATAATATGAATTTTCAAAATTAACTTAATTGGGAATATTACAAGTAATACAAGTTGATTTTCAGTTAACGTAGATAAAAATGAGTTAATTTAAAGTTAAAAATAACTGAACTTTTAACTTATTAACTCGCTAATGCCCAGTCTTGATTGAACCTATTGAATTAAGAAAAATAATTATAAAGTACCTATAATAATATAGCATATTCTTAGGTATATACTTTCATGAAGGCCGAATTCCTAGGGTGGTTAGAGGCCCCCATGTATGTATACTTTTTTGCTTGTTTGTGATGTTGTTTGGTGAATAAACGATACGGGTTCGGGTGGCAGTATTGTGCTAAACAGTTCCCACCCGTTCCCGGTTTCAGAAGGGGAAAAAAAAAAAAAGTTTAGTGAATAAACGATACGGGTTCGGGTGGCAGTATTGTGCTAAACAGTTCCCACCCGTTCCCGGTTTCAGAAGGGGAAAAAAAAAAAAAAAAGGTATATACTTTCATGAGAGATAACGAAAGCTGATCCGCGCATCTCTATCGCTCAGAATAGTGTTTTCGTAAATTAAAAGTACCTACACTGATTCATCATTGAACTAATCATTCTGACTTATCTATTATAACAGTGATCTACTTAATTACAAAGTACGTCCAAAAATATGTTTCCTGGTTTTTTGATTTCAAATGAAATACAAGTCTGACAAATAAAACCTCTGTGGGCTCAGTGTACACTTATTAAAATTACTTAAACCGCTATATTTAAGACTAAATTAATATATATTTTGAAATAGAACAGAATACCTATGATTTTCCACATTATTTTCATATGATTTTGCGTATTTTTAACCTAATTTTAACTCGTTATAATTCAGTAAATTTTGGTTTTAGAGCCATGGTTGAAAGATCAAGATGACAACTAGAAATTATTTCTATCAAATTCTTGTTTTTAAAACAGATGTTGCTATATTTAAAAAAAAATGTAATATTATGTTGTATGCTTATGAGTACGGTGAAAAGATTGAAGGTTAAAAATTTAAAAATCGTCAAAAATGTGTATCTATTTCAGTATATTCAACATTATCCTCCCGATTATATATTACTGGACAGAAATATTTCGTATCACCTTTAAAAGTATAAACATGCAGTATAGTGTATACTATATAGTATACACTGTATACACTATATGCACCTTAACATCTATAAGTCTTCGCACTTTTGGAGTAGTGTCCATCGCTCAGGTCGATCTGTCTTTTTGCTTTATTAAATCTTTCGATATAAATTACTGTGTTAACTTTTTATTGTAAATTATCTTTTTCTAATTATATATAATAATATATTAGTGTCCACTATACATACATAGGCTAAAACCATAATATCTATTTAGTAATTAGCAATTTAATATAAATGTGCATTTTCAAATTCAATTTATATAAAATTAATTTGTGTAAAATTATTGATTGATAAGTGCTCAAATGACAAACTGCAATCAATGGAAACAAATATTTAAAATAATTAACAGTTAATTATTTGGTAGGTATATCATTACATATACAACACAAATTAACAATTTTATAATTTTATAATTTTAAAATATATTTCTTACCCTTAACTATAAAATATACATAATAATCTAATTAATATTAAAATAATAGTAATAGTTGTCTACGAATCATTAACACTTGTAATTTTTATCTATAGTACCTACCCATGTATACTTACTTTCTTTTTTCATGTAAAATTTTGATCTGATTTCCTTTTCTTACGGCATCCTATATGGGCTATATGATATTGTTAAATTTACCACATTAATACTCAAACCATATTTTAGCAGGTAAGTACCTGTAAATATACCTGCAGTAGGTCAGTATTGTAGGTAAGGATTATAGGTATACCGAGTAGTGAGTACTAACAAGTATAATAGTTTTGCAAAGACGCCATCATAAGAGCAGGAAACGTCAGAAATCAATTTCACATGACAAGAATAAAAAGAAGATAAAAGGTACAAACCCAGATTTCTACATGATACACATAAGTGTTATATATAGGTGTATTTTCTAGTATAATGTGACCAGCGAAGCAACGTTTTTTTTTTTTTTTGTATATGGTTTTATACAATAAAATAAATCAAAAAGTTATTGTAAAAATAATCTTAGTCTACAGATTTTATTTGCACGAAATATTTGCTTATAATAGGTATTGTTATTTTCATTTCGGTACACGAAAGAAGGCCGTATACCTACCTATGTGTACTTCAACATCATGCACTTTGCCACACCTTTACCTTTATATTAAGATGACCGAAAAGGATTTTGACACAACGATATCAGTGACTTGATCCGGAAGCGATCGGTTTCTCGAGAACAATTCACGGGATCACCATGCAAGGCGATCAACGAACGTTGCACCTTTGTCTATCGAAGTGCACAAAAGGCTCCACAAGACCGCAAGAGCGCCAGTCGGGTTTGCCTGACTATTCGGCGTACGTCGGTGATCGGGTACCGGCGGCGCACGCGACGCAGTCCTCGTGTACATGGAGGCGGCCACGATATGGGCGGAGCTCCGTACACTGGGGTGGGAGAACGATTGTGGCTCACACCCACAACAACATCACCGAGTCTGGTTCAAATTCGTTGACCTTGTTACCAGAATCGGTTCGGCGCGACTTCGGTGTACCGAATTTGAAGTTTTCCATCATTTTTATACTGAGATCGGTTTTGAAAAGTATTATTTTGAAAAAAATGTCTACACATTTTCAGTTTGACATCGTGTTTAAGTTTCGCTAATAGTTTTAATTAGTTTATCGGATTTTTCTCGTTATTTCGAATTGTGTAACGTGCGGTAACGGCTAGTCGCCGAACGCGCATTTATAGTGCGACTCACAACCAGGACTAATTTCATTTTTTCCAACTTGATATTTACAAAATACCAATAATCGGCATTTACAAGGTAAGTGTAATATCAAAATATAAGTATTATACATCAATATAATAGATCAAATTAAATATTCTATGTAATTTATAAAGAATACTTATAGAGTACATTTTAAAAAATCATTTAAATTCTAAATTATTATTCCTCCAGCATGCCTAACTATAAATTATGATGTAGAAGTTAATTAAATAAAGTATGACGAGTTTTTAATATTGAAAAAATATCATTTAATAAATTAACAATGTATGAAATTAATTCAAATTAATAGATATATTATATGATTCATAAAATATGTTATCACTTTCGTAATTAACTTGATATAGTTGAACAGTAGTTTTAATATACTGTATTATTAATTTTCATCATCAATTTCCTTTAAACAAGATTAATTGTTTTTCGTATAATTACAATTAATAATTACATTATACATTCATTAACTTTGATGACGGGTCACAGTAATTATGATAAAATAATAAACTTATGGTTTCTTATTTTCTTAATGATGTAATAAATTCAATTTTATTTCTGATAAAGCGGAATTCTTACTAATCACAAATATTATAGATCACAAAATCGTATAAATATATAACAGATGCCTACTGCTTACGGTTCTATGTGGGTAACTATTTGCAGGTCTGCATACGCGGACAAGAGATGAAATAAAAAACCTTTCTCAGCAGGAACAGAGTTTTTATTGTGGATACGATTCTTAGTAAAGTCCCGTTACAGTTTCCTTTTTTTAATCTTTTACATATAACACGTTATATTATGATTTCGCCTAAAACATTTAGGTAGGTAGTCGTAGCTTAAATGTATAGGTATAGGCAGGGTCGAAATGTTACCATTTATCTTATCTTATAGTTCGAATAATGTATAGTAAAAAAACACGATCTTTACCTAATATTGGTTCATAGGTTTATTAATATTATTTCAAACATATGTTGCATACAACTGTATATCATACGAGTATAACCTCATATAGTTTTATCGAATATATTACAGTACCTATACCTATGCAGTATACACGCACAACAATTAAATATATATAGGAATCTGATTATATCTGGTATACACATAATTCAAAGATTAGACATATTTTTTAAATAAAATAAAAAAAATATTCAATTTCAATTATGCTGTTATAAATAATAATACAATATTTAGGTACGCACAGCTAAAATAATAATTTATTATTAAACAAAGCAAATCAAATTATAAATAATATATATATATATATAACGTAATACGAATAATTTTTTTCTGAAAGAAATAGTAATTTTGATATGATTTTAAGGTAAAACAAGTACAATTAATAGATCAATAGACTCTTGCATTTTTAAATACTTTAACTTTTTTATTACAAAAATGGTATTTTGGTAAATTAAAAGTATTATTATGTTTTTTGTACTATAAATATATATTATTATTATATTATAATTAAAAATTGACGTGTTTTTTCAATTTAAATATTAAAATCCGAGGGTCTAATTAAGTTTTAAGGTTTTTCCATTTTTTCAAAGTAAAAATATTAGCGAAATTGCGTCTGATGAGATTTGCAAGATGCAATCTGTAGATATAATATAATGTATATTTATTTGTACAAACGTTATAACATCACATAATACCTTTAATAAATGTTAAAACATTATATTGCGTGTTCTAAGTGTTGTATACAATGGTGGGTAAGTATAAAATGTATAAAATGTATTAAACAGGAGAACAGATCGGCCAATATTTTGTATTATCGTCTAATTATAAGCTGTTATTTTTATACACTACCAAATTATACTTCGTTAAATTATGTGATACAAGAAAATTGTTGGATAGTATCAAATTTCAAATAAAATAACATAGAAGTAAAAAAAAACAGAGCATTAAATTATTTCTATACCACTCATTCGTCTTGCTTCATTCACCTTAGAGCAGGATAATATAACAATTTTAATAGTATATCTTGATACAATTATTTTTCCGTTTATGTTCACTGTTTAAAAAAGATCGAGACATACGGAGTAAAATATTTCTGTTTATATTGTATTGAAAGAAAAAACTTCAGATTTCAGATGAATAATTTTGAAAAATATTCGGAAGTGCGTGGTGTATAAAATTCAGCTAAAATATTTGTTTTTTATTTGATGATTTACTATTGGTTATCATAGATAACATCCACTGCAAGTTTTTGAAACCTGCAGTCTAGTTTTTTTTTATTAAGTATAAACTCAACAAGTGGTCAATAATGATGTTCATGTATATAAAAACTATTCGTTGTTTGTTTTTTTCCCCACGAATCTTTTAATGACGTGTAGCAACCGATTGCTGTATGAGTAAAGGCCGCGGTAATGCGGTGTCTGGCAGCCGGATATGAGGAACGGCGGCGACGGCGGTGGCGTTGTTGCGGTGGCGTCCAGATACCGGTGGAGGTACACGTTGACGCTGGTTGTGTGCGTGATGGCGGCGGTCGGGGTAGAGGGCTGTGGCCCGTTGCGTGGCCCGTCCAAGTTCCGGAACCCTCGAAAGATGAAGCCACTGGTGTTTCAGCAACACGAGCCCAACGTCAGCGAGTACTCCATCACCGCCAGCGGGCCACCAGAAGGTCGGGTCCAGCGGAACGACTCCAGGTTCATGGAGCTGGTACCCAACTACAATGCGGACATCGAGTTCAAAGACGACGAGGGCACCGGTGCCGATCGGCTGATGACCCAGGTAAGGTTTACGCTTTATATTTACCATTCCATTATTTTACACGTAGTAGGTACCGTTCATTATTGTAATAATGATATAATTTAACATAATTATTATTTTATACCATGCTATATATAGTACACCATCATGTGCCCAGTTTTCTGCCAATTGTATAATAGTGAAATATAGATTTATATCATTTACATCGTCTATTAAAAACTGTAAAATGTTATTTTGTACTTCACGAGCTCCTCATATTCGACGTATGCTGTTATTGGGTTTTGTGTACACACACACTTCCGGTCGCTGCGGGCATATTATTTTGTACTCATAAACACACGCATATTATATATGACTGGATAAGTAGGCACTGTACAGGTATAGTAGGTATTCTACATATTGTTTTCTTTATTTTCCACGACAATCCTATAGTCCGCTCCGCGACCTTCTATGTAAGTGATACATATTTAGAAATATAGGTATGAGCCACCCGCCTGCGCGTGTCTGCGCCGAGTGTCACTTACCTTGACCCAAATTTGTCAGCTGGGTTCGCACCCCCGTGTTCCCGGTGACAACTCATCGCCTCATCGGGGGTTCTTCGCGTAATAATATTAGACATTGGGGTTCCTTGAGCACCTCTGCAGACTGCTGCACACATCTCGCGGTTCCCAATATTAAAACATGTACATGGTATAATTATACAATATGTATATAGGGCGATATCATAACGACGGAATGACACATTATCGGCCCGGAACGATAACGTCGAGTGCACGACCATAAAGAAATAACACCAGCAACGAAATCCTTCGTTTATTTATATACACGTGAATATTTTACGATTAACTAAGAGAAATTGTATATGCCTAGATATAGAACAATACAAAATAGGTATAAGGTGCTATCGTATATCCGTATAATGATAATATTCCCGTATATTGTACTACGTATATTAAATAATACGTGTGGTGTCACGAATGTATACATCGTCACTATCGGCTGATTATTATGAGAATTAATCTTTTTACGTAAAATCAGGCCGCATATTATTACCTACACGTAATCATTTATTATTAATTGTCACTAAAACGCTTTCAGCGTCAGGGTACAGCAAATATCGCAAATATTACGCTTCGAGACCTGCACATTATTATTCACGTGCTGTTATACGTTATTTGTATGCACACATCGACTTCTATGCAGTATGCACCGAGTGCGAGTTTTTTTTTCTCGTCGTCGACTCTCGACGCCCGACCGTCTAGCCGTCGTCTGCAGCGTATATTACGTGTTATGTAGTTTATATCAATATTATTTGGACGTTATACACTAACTATAAGACGTGTACCTACGTTATGTCGTATATTTTATTTTATAATAACGACACACGGTTTTCGGCAGGTCGTTCGACGTGGGCGACAAGGAGAAAGGTATTACAACAATATTATATTTGGTTCACATTATATAGGTATAATTATAATACGCGTGTAATTCGATCTTTGGAAGTCGCTGAGGAGGTCATAAGGGGCACACCGCATTGTTTTCGAAACGATTTAGCAGAAGCACGGACGCGGACGAATAAAAACATAATATTATATTATAACATTTTATTATAAGCGCGTTTGCTTATCAAACGCGTGACGATTTATCATAACGAAAGATAAGAGCGCTATTGTTCGTTTAAATTAGGTGAAAAAATATCGTAATTCGCATAGGACAGCAGAAAAAGCGTTTCCCCTCCACCCCCTCGACGGATTTAATTGGATATTTTTTTTTTCGTCGCGCACAGTGCTCATAATAGTAATAATAATATATACATTATTATACGTATGTGTGTTATACAATATATTATTTATATACATATTATAATAAATTAATATTCGGGCTCGTGCCCATGTTTGTGTCTAGTCAACAATGCGAACCGACAAGCCGATAACATTGTTATTACGCGTTGTTTGTTCATTTGTCTGTGCCTGCGTACACGTTCCTCGTTCCGTCTCTGTCCGCCGCACGCTGCACATCGCATCGCATCGCATTATAATATTATTAGGTATAAACCCTGCCGCCGCCGCCGCCGCCGCCTGTGCCGTCGCCGCCGGTGTGGGTACGTTTAAAATATAATATTATTATTATATTGTGGGCATACGGCGCGTACCTATACACAATATTATAATAATAGTAATAATAATATGATATTTTCGTTCGTCGCGCGGCCGCCAGCGTTCACGGCTGTCCGGTCTCGTTATTTCGCTATCGCGTATTTGGCGTTTATGCGTCACCAACGCGCCGCGCACCTGTGGCCAGGCCAGCGCGGCAGCAGCAGCAGGGGACGCGGTCTAGACACGCCGCGCCGGGCTCCGCGTGTCATCTCTTCTGTCCGGTGCGTGTGCGTGTATGCATGTAACATACACGCGTATAATACCCACACGCGTTACGTATGCACAAGTGCACACGGGGTTGCACGGTGCAGCAACAGCTACGGCGGCGAACGCTGCAGCATGCAGCAGATACGGATCTCCTGGCAATATAATATATAATATAATCGCGTCCGTATCACGTGTGTATAATACATAACATAATATCCATCTCGTTTCGTGCGTGCCACGACGTTTGGTTTTTTTTCTATTTTTTTTCCACCCGATAATCAATAATAACAACATGTACCTGCCTACACCGGCACATAGCTACGACTAGAGACTGAAATTGAAAAAAAAATAAATAAACCGCTCGTCGTGTTCAAATGTACCACCGCGTTCCCGTCGTTGGACGTCAAAATGTTTCTTGTGACTTTTGCGGTATGTATATATTATTATTATAATATAATGTTTATATTCACTAAGTACATGTACCATGTACGTACTATACGTATATGTAGCTGCTGCGTGGACGTGAAATGAAATTCAAACTCTATATCATAATAAGACGAAATAGCGTGGTGTCGAGTTTCATTGAGAAAAAATGTTTCATTAATTTTTTTTTATTATACCTAGCTACGTAATAAACACTATATATAAATATATACTCATAGTATGCAATAACGACATACCATTCACATTGAATAGTTACATATTAGGTACATAATATTAATTTTCATTGGTATCTACTACCTAATATATACATATATATTATGCGTGTGTGTGTATAGCAAAGATATCGAATACTATTAAAGTTTAAAGAGAAGCCGATGATGTTAACTATAGGTTTTTAAATAAATATTATATTATATTCAAACATGCCTATATAGTCTATATGTACGTATAATATTGATAGGCATAGATAACTGCATGTAGTTTATTACTAATTACAGCAATGACTATAATGACTAATGCTATAATGACAGCGAAAATGGAATTATATTATATTTTAAAAAGTTGATTAAATGTTTCATGTATTATGTATATATAAGTGGGTATCATCGAGTTTTGAGAGAAGAAAATATGTCTATAGAGATTAATGGATTATATAAAATACTTATAAAAGAAAAATAACGTAAAAAAAGAAAAGATTCAATGAAAAATGGATATAAATATATAGGTACCTCGTTTGAATTCATACAGGACGCATTGTAATTGAGTCCACGGGAACAGAGTCTCATATCCTATATATGTATTAATAAAATGTATTATTTAATGAATTCGAATACCACATATAGCTCAATAGCTGACAAGAATCCATAAATAGCATTAAGTGATTGACTCGTTTCTCACGGTTCTTAAATTCAATAATATACCTACAATATTTTTTTCGGTGTATGAATGTTATGTTTGTGACTTAACACTTTTTTCATTTTATGGCTATAACAACTATAAATGAATATACTATTGTTTATAGAAAAGTAAATATACAGCATAAATCGCTATTATTATGTATGTCATGCATGATGCATACCGAAATGTTTAATTTGATTAAAAATATATGTACCTAATAATACACAAGTACCCACATTATTTTATGTATTTAAAAACGATTTAAGTACGTTTTAAAGTTTAAACTCCATAATATACGAGTTAGTATATAGTAGTTATACATAAAGGTATATATAAAACTTATACCGTTTACGCTATAATAATATTTATATATTAAATACATAAAAGTTTTAAATTTCAAAAATTAAATACACCAGGTATTAAAATAATTTAATAATGTCCGTGTTGTATAACGAATATCTACATACTATAGTCTATAGGTAGACTTGATCAGAGGTATGAGATATAGTATTTTTGTCGATTAGGTTTCTAAATTTTTTTTTTATGTGCATTTTTAATGAATTAAAAATATACATAGTCGTCAACCGAATAAGAATGTCATAACGAATAAGTTTAAATCTAGTAAAATACCAAATATACATATAGGTATTAATTAATACCTGTAGAAACAGCTAAGACGATAATATATGGCATAAATAATATCATAACATAGGTATTTATTATGTAGGTATTATGTAATAGATATTATAGGTAGGTGAAGTTACTCTCATATACCTATATAGTTATGTATAGTCTAATATTATATAGGCATACAGCGTATCGTAAATTATTATAACGAATGTGTTTACGTGTTAATATTCAAAATTCGTTTATATACGATTCATAATTCATATATATTCATATATTATGTGTGCAGGAACATCTCTTTAGACATGCTCGAAGCTAAAGTATTTACACATTAGTTCGCAATGGCCAAAGACTACATTATTATAATATCATATACTTAGACTACAGTCTACTGCTACGTATATAGTTAGACAATGTGTTTTAGGAAAATGGAAAAATATAAAGTAACTTTTAAACAAATAAAAAACTGTATTAACAACATTTTTTATTGAAAACAGAATTTTATGACATTAAGAGTACAATGGTTAACAATTTCATGTTTTGAAATTCATTTGCGTAAGATGGAAACCATTCGTACGTATGGTGTTATTTCGAGGTTTGGCGACATACATTGTCCCCCCCCCCCCCCCCAAGATAATTAGATTCAACGGGTGCGATTTTTGTCTTGTGGGACCATCTCAAAAACAATGT